TAGAGTGTCAGCCTGTGGACTAGTCCAGAATTCGATTTTGGTCAAGGGCACATGTCCAGGTTTCGGGCTCAATCTCCAGTAGGGGGCGTGCAGGAGGCAGCCAATCAATGATTCTCATCATTGATGTTCCTATCTTTCTCCCTCTCCCTTCCTCTCTGAAATAAAAATATTTCTAAAAAACGTATCTATGTAATAAAAGCCTAAGCGACCATTAAGGTAGAACGACCAGTCGCTATGAAGTGCACTGACCACCACAGGGGGGGAGATGCTCAATGCAGGAGCTGCCCCCTGGTGGTCAGTGCCCTCCCACAGGGGAAGCACTGCTCAGTCAAAAGCCAGGCTCACAGCTGGCAAGCACACAGCAGAGAGAGGGGGAGCCTCTCCCGCCTCCAAGGCAGTACTAAGGAGCAGGGAGCCAGGCAGTAGGGAATATCGGGCCTAAGCCAGCAGTGGGACATTCCCCCTAGGGGTCTCTGACTGCAAGGAGAAAGAAAATTAATACCTGGTGCATTAAAGGGAAACCAAAAAAAAAAAAAAAGCAGAGAATATCTTAAAAGTAGTCAGAAGAAAACCAGCAGGCGGGAACACCGATTTTTAACAATTTGACCTGCATCATTTTTTGTTCTTTCCAAAAATTGGGACTTTTTTAAAAACGATGCGGGACAAATTGTTAAAAACTGGGACTGTACCGCCAAAAACGGGACGTCTGGTCAGCTTACCCAAGGGGTCCTGGACTGAGAGAGGGCACAGGCTGAAAGAGGACACCCCTCCTCTTTCCCCTAGTGCATGGATTTCTTTCACCAGGCCTCTAGTTTTCATAAAGATGTAAGGAGTGCCTAAGAATGTCCATAGAGCGTCGACCTGCGGACTGAAGGGTCCCAGGTTTGATTCCCATCAAAGGCATGTACCTTGGTTGCGGGCACATCCCCGGTGGGGGGTGTGCAGGGGGCAGCTGATCAATGATTCTCTCTCTCATCGATGTTTCTAACTCTCTATCCTCTCTCTTCCTCTCTGTAAAAAATCAATAAAATATATATATTTTTAATAAAAAAGAAAAGAATGTCCACAGTAGTAAAAACTTACCCCATCACCTCAAATTGCAATGATTCATGATTTCATTATATTCCAGGGTTGAAGCTAACAGATTACAATACTATGCAAAAGTCTAATATATACACAAAAGAGCATCTGCTTTAAATATGAAGACTAAACGCTACTAGTAGGAGGTATTTTAAAGGCTGCATTATCCAATTCTGCTTATATATAGGATATATAGAAAAGAGAGAAAAATATTGCATTCAATAAAGTTAACTCCATTAACTGAAATGGCAATAAAAATTACTATTGGCCTACAGTCTAGAATTGATAATTTTTTTTAAAGTATAATGTTAAACATGAGTTGTTTTTTTCAACCCTCACCCCAGAACATATTAGAGGAAGGGAGGAGAGAGACATTGATCAGCCAGCCACCTGTGGTAAGCGCCCCAACTGGGGATTGAGCTCGGGATCCTTTGATGCATGGAAGCTTCAACCAATTGAGTCACACCAGCCAGGACTAACCTGTTTTTAACTCATTACTAAAATTAATTTACTATTACCTTTTTTTTTCTAACAAGGCATATATTAAGGAATTAATGCAAAACTCCTCACTGACTACCAGAATAAGTTAGAGATGAGGTGCTGGTATTTTAAAAGGACAGCTCTCTAAGTAGTAATACAGAACAGATGTATTTCTGGGGTTGATGTATTCAAACAGAATGAATTGAAAGTGACCATCAAAACTTTACCGTCAGATGGAGCCAATCATCACAGGGAGAAGGAAGGTGGAAAGACGAAGCCAAAAACTACCCCATGAACTTAAGTGTAGTGTATGCTGGCGACCCTCTAACTCTCAGAAAAGGTGAAAGTACTCACTCCCCTGCCCCCACTGCTTTTCTATACTACTGCGGTTCATACAGATAGGACAGTCAAACAATGTTCAGGAAGGCTAAGTATTTTTTGTTTTGTTTTTAATATGTATTGATTTCGGGGAGAGGGTAAGGGGAGAGAGACATACAATAGATGATGAGAGAGATCATTACCAGCTGCCTCCTACATGGGGATGGGGATGGGATGGGGATGGGATGGGATGGGGATGGGGATGGAGCCTGCAACTGGAATTGAAGCATGTGCCCTGAGCGGAATGGAACTGTGACCCCCTGGTTCATAGGCCTGCACTCAACCACTGAGCCAAGCCTGCCGAGCAGGACTTCCTTAACATGGCCACGAATCACATTAAAACTATTCCTTAGACTTGACGCTAAATTTAATCTTCAAGATGAGCAGTCCTAGTCCCAAACCTCAGTATTTCCTATCAGCAACCCGAAATCGTTCTTTTTCTGAACACATCTTAGCTCTCCCTCCAGTACCTTTAAATAAACCATATTAAATTGATTCCAATTACCCAGGATAGAATTAAGTGATGTTACAAAGAAGTTGTAATACCTATTAGATTCAACACAACATGCAAAATAAATAAGGTACTGCAGGAATGAGAAAAAACAGTATTTATATCCAAATACCTAAAAATCAATGGCACTTGATACCAACTATGTCTCGCCCCTCAACAGCATTAAAACCAGATATGACTGTTTTCATAATACTACACTCTTTCTTCCACTCCCCATGCTGAATTGGTGACTAAAACTATGGCATTAATTTTTGTCACCACAAACAACACTAAATTATTGTGACAAATAGAGTAGACACAGGTAGAGGATTCCTGATAACTGCCTTCCTCTTCCTTTCCAATGAATCCCTACCTTGTGCCCAACAGTCAGCAGACTTTCCTCTCCATCTGGGGAGACCTATTTCCTTCCCCGTTAGATTCTGAAGGAGACACCAAAAGTGTCCATGTAATGATGTGGCTCTATCTGGAGAGTACTACGGTATGTTGAATAACTAGTAGGAGGTTTGGTCAAAAATCCTCAGCACTCAACTCCAAAATATGATTAACACCAAACTGTCAACTCAGAAATCATGAGCTTCCAAATCAGTTCTTAAAACAAGTTTTAAAAAAACCTTCCTCTATGTCCTTTTGGTTATCACAACTAGCTTACTCAGAACCTACACTCCCTACAGAACAGAAAGCATTCAAATATAATTTCAAGTTTCCTGCCAAAGGCACTGGTGGATTGAAAGGGGAAACCTATCTGGAGCATGGGGGAGGGGGACACTTCCATTAAAAGCACACCTACAGTGTTTGACTTTTAAACACTGAAATTAAGGCATAGCTGACCTTGAACTGTACTTCCCATCTTATTCCCCTCCCCCTCCTAACAGGAACCTTATTTAATACAAATAGCAATTTCAATTTAAGGATTTACCAGATAAAATTGAGTGTAGTATCTTCCCTAAGTTTCAATTCAAAGCCTTTTCTCCTAATTTTCAAATTCCTGAATCCTAATGTATGATATCTAGCCCTGAGGCTATTCACATGACAAATAGGTATTCAAGGAAAGCCCTGATCCTAATGAGACACTTTGAAAAATAAATGGTTCAGTAATTAAGAAAAACCTAAAAATCAATGGCACTTGATACCAACTATGTCTCGCCCCTCAACAGCATTAAATGACTCTTTTCATAATACTATACACTTTTAACAGATGTGGGGGTAATTCAAATACCTACGTCCAAAATGGAGGGAGGGGCAATTTTTTTAAAAGCAGCAAGCAAGCTGGAACTGGCTAAAAAGACACAATGGGCAATTCCATAAAGTTCTAGAAAATGACGAAAGGGCTTTTACGGGCAAAGGACCAAAGGAACAAAGGAAAACTATTCAAATCGGTACATAAAACCGAGAAATCCGTACATAAAACACGGAAAAGAACGTAGGATCTGCTGAGGACTCACAGTCCCAAAACCCATACCCCCGGACTGAATGACTGGGGGGTAAATTAAAAACCCCAAATGAGGTACGAACCACGCAATCCAAGCCCGGGCAAGTCAACCAAAATGCAGTTTACTAAACATCATTTGAAATAACTTTTATTTTTCAACAGGTCTTTTTCTCCGTTTGTCACAATAGTGCAGCACACAGCAAAGTCACAATTCTTACTAAACACGGGTGGCCTGAGAGCCAGGCACCGGCGGGGACGAAGACGCGTGGTCTCCTGGTTTCCCGGCCGCGGTTCTAACCCCCCGACCCCGCGGCGGGGACGGAAAACAGCCACAGGAACTCGGGGCGCTCCGGTCTGGGTCCGAGGGGAGGGAGCGTGAGGGAGGGCGGCGAAGCTGAGCGGACAAACCTAAGAAACCCTCGCCACACGGTGCGCCGGCGGCCTGCGGGGGAAACTCGATCGCAGCATCTCGGCTGGCCTCCGCCCAAGGAGGAACGGCAGTGATTCCCGTCTCCCACCCCCCGCACCACCACCACCACCACCACCACCGCAGCCCCAAGACCTCCCCTCGCTCAGCTTCTCCTTTGTGAGGCGCCCAGCCGCCGCCCCACATTGGGCCTCCGGGGAAAAGCCACCGCCCCCGCCCGCCATGTTTCCCTGAAAGGCGCCCGCGCTACGGCTCCCGGCCGCCGCTCTCCCCCATGTGGCGGGTGTTTCTTCCCCCATCGGCCACTCCATTGTTCTCCTCATCCCAAGGCTAAGCCAGAAGTTCCCCGGAGGATCGCTCGCCCGGAGACAGCACCCGCCATCTCCTCCTCCCCCGCCCCGGGAATCGCCCTCCCCCCCCCCCGCAGCCGCCATTTTACAACCAACTCCTCCACCCCATCGCCTCGGCCTCTCGGTTGGCAAGTGCCTGCGGCCGAGGACACCGAGGGGGTCAAATTCCTAGGGCCGGGGCCTCCCACCGCTCCAGGAGACCACGGGCCATTTCCAGCTTCCAGAACCCACGTCCCCCCGGCAAGGCTCGGAGACGATGCCGCCATTTTGTCTCCCGCTCCCGGCCTCTGTGGGCGGCGGCAGAGGGTCCGAGAATTCCAGCCCCCGGCTGACCCCCCAACTCACCGTCGTATCGCTCAGCCTGCTCGGCCAGCTTCGCCTGGTACACCAGATCCTCCCGATCATCCATAGCGGCAGCGGCTCCGGCAGGGTCTGCGCGACGGATGGAAGCGGATAGCGTCTCCGACTCGCTCAGCCTCTCGCTACGCGTCCGAGCAGCAAAAATGGCGGCGCCTCAATCCGGGACTTCCGCCTGCGCACGCGGACAACTGCTCAGCTCTATGGCAACCGCTCCCTGGCAACTGGCGCGGGGGGCGGTCCCGGAGCTCGGCGCCCCGAGAGGCTGGAACCCAGCAGACGCCCCTCCTCCGCGAGCTCAGCTGGCGCGGGAGCCCCGAGGCGGGAACTGCGACTGCGGGAAGGAAGAGCGGCCCCGGGAGCCGGGAGGAAAGCTGGCGGCGAGGCCGGCCTGGGCTGCCCCTGAAGAGAGGGAGCGAGAGGAAGCAAAGGCTGTAACGGTTTGTTAATGGCCGGCCCTCCTCCCGAAAATCAGCTTCTCCGCTACCAAGCCCGTTATCTCCGCCAAGCCCACTCCTGGGTCTTCTCCTGGCTTTTTTAACCCCGGAGTAAAGAGTTGGGCCTTGCCAAAACCAGTTTGGCTCTGTGGATAGAGCCTAGGCCTGCGGACTGAAAGGTCCCGGGTTCAATTCCGGTCAAGGGCATGTACCTTGGTTGCGGGCACATCCCCAACAGGGGGGGGGGGGGGGGGGGTGCAAGAGGCAGCTGGTCAATGATTCTCTCTCATTGGTGTTTCTAACTCTTTCCCTATCTCTTCCTCTCTGTAAAGAAAAAAAAAATCAATAAGATATATTAAATAGAATAAATTTTGAAAAAAGAGAGTTGGGCCCTGCAATAGTGGGAAGGGGAAGGGGAGCCCCAGTTTTCACACCTCAACTTCACTTGGCAGCCCTTTGCTTCTCTTGCACATTAGCCTCCTTTTTCCGTTTAGGCCCACCATGGATGGGCCCCAGGGTCGTGGTCAGAGGCCTGGGGTGAAGGTGCCGAAGACAGCCAGGCTGGCATTGACATTGAGGAAAGCAAGGAGGGGAAAGGAGTTGGTTGCTCTTTGGCTGCCCCGTGCATTCCCAGCACCTTGTTCTCAATATAAAATCAGCTCCAAGACCCAAGTTCAGGTAACTAGAACATGAGCTGTGTGGTGAGACCTGCAATAAATGTGAAATAAGAAGGTTGGAACCAAATTATGAAGAGCCTTGGATGGCAAGCTAAGTCTGCACTTTATTCAGTGGCCACAAGAAAGCTGTGATTTTTGCAGAGAGGATAATATGGTTTATCTAACAGCCTATACTTTAAAAAGATTAATAAGTACGGCATAATAGTGATTGATTAGCAGGCTATCACACCAATGCAGGCGAGAGGTAATAGATGGTTGCATAAAAATAGGAAGGAAAGGACAAATAAGATTAGTACTACAGAGAAAAGCCTCAAGTGTTTGTATCCGATCAGATGTAGAGATCTTGTGATGGGGAAAAATTGACTTTCCATCTTCCCACCCTGAGTCTCTGGAATAATGAGTGGTAGTACCATTAACAACAACAACAACAAAAAAGGAATGCTGGGGAAATTTGCTGATAGAATTCAGAGAAGACAATTCCTTTTAGCACATTTTGGTTCTAAGATTCTCAAAGGTCACCAGGTAGAAGTAACCATCATGGAATTGGGGGAAAAAAAGGGAAGCAGAAGAATACCTACTTTTAAGAGGTAAAAGCAAGACCCAGCAAAGGAAACTGGTGGCTCCTTACTCCACTGCAGGTTAAACCCCTTTCACTCTAAACAAACTTACCAAATTTCAATGATAAAAGACAGAATTAAAATACAGAATTCTAAAACTATATAAATACACATTTACTTATTTTTACCTTCATTTCACCTCTGAAGCTTCATGTTCATCGGTAGAAAAACTGGAGACCATTCGTTAAGCCATGAAACAAGCCTTAATACACATAAAAAGACTGAAATCAGCCAAAACTGGTTTGGCTCAATGGATAGAGCGTCGGTCTGTGGACTGAAAAGTCCCGGGTTCGATTCTGGCCAAGGGCATGTACTTGGTTGTGGACACATCCCAACTGGCAGATGTGCAGGAGGCAGCTGATAGATGTTTCTAACTTTTTATCCCTCTCCCTTCCTCTCTAAAAAAATCAATAAAAATATATTTTTTTAAAAGACTGAAATCATACAAAGTATCTTTTCCTATCACAATGGAATGAAACCTGAAATTAGCATTGGCCAGGTATCTCAGTTGATTAGAGCACAATATACCAAGGTTGTGGGTTTGATCCCTAGTCAGGGTGTATACAATGAGCAACCAGGGAATGCATAAATAAGTACAACAAATCGCTGAACTCCTCCTCCCCTCTCTCTAAAATCAATAAATTGTCCTGGCTGTTGTGGCTCAGCTGGTAAGAACTGTCTCAGGGTGTGTACGGGAGGCAACTGATCTCTCTCTCTCCCCCCACTCCCTCCCTTCCTTCCACTCTCTCTAAAAGTCATTGGAGGGCTGGCCTGCATTGCTCAGTAGTTGAGCTCTGATGTCTGAGCCAAGAGTACCCAGTTCAATTCCCAGTCAAGGCACATGCTGGGCTTGTGGGCTCTATCCCCAATGTGTGGCTTGCTGGAGGCAGCTGTTCAATGATTCTCATCATTGACGTTTCTATCACTCCCCTCTCCCTTCCTCTCTGTAAAAAAATCAATATATTAAAAGATATTTTAATATATTTTTTTATTGATTTCAGAGAGGAATAGAGGGAGAGAGAGCTAGAAACATTGATCAGTTGCCTCCTGCAAACCCCACACTGGGGATGCGCCCACAACCAAGGCACATGCCTTGACTGAAATCAAACCTGGGACCCTTAAGTCCAAAGGCCAATGCTCTATCCACTGAGCCAAACCGGTTTCGGAAAAAAACAAAATAATGAAATTCAGTGGGAGTCTACTTATAGGCTCAATTTCCTTAAAAAAAAAAAAAAAAAAAAAAAAAAAGAGGCCCACTGTAACTGGTTTGGCTCAGTAGGTAGAGCATCAGCCTGAAGACTGAAGGGTCCCAGGTTTGATTCCGGACAAGGACATGTACCTTGGTCACGGGCACATCCCCAGAGGGGGGTGTGCAGGAGGCAGCTGATTGATGTTTCTCATTGATGTTTCTAACTCTCTATTCCTCTCCCTCTCCCTTCCTCCCTGTAAAATATCAATATATAATTTTTTTTAATTTTAAAAAGAGAGAGCCCACCGAGGCCGATTTGGCTCAATGGACGGAGCGTCGGCCTGTGGACTGGAGGGTCCTGGGTTCGATTCCGGTCAAGGGCATGTACCTTGGTTGTGGGCACATCCCCAGTGGCGGGTGTGCAGGAGGCAGCTGATCAACGTTTCTCTCTCATTGATGTTTCCAACTATCTCTCTCTCTTCCTCTCTGTAAAAAATCAATAAAATATATATATTTTAAAAAGTTTAAAACAGAGCTCTGCCAAAACCAGTTTGGCTTAGTGGATGAAGCGTCAGCCTGTGGACTGAGGGTCCCAGGTTCAATTCTGGTCAAGGGCATGTACCTTTGTTGCTGGCATGACCCCAGTAGGGAGTGTGCAGGAAGCAGATGATTTGTCTTTCTTTCTTTCTTTCTTTCTTTTAAAGAACTATTTTTTAAAATTAATTTTGATTTTAGAAAGAGGGAGGGATACCCAAAACCTGGGCATGTGCCTTGACTGGTTATCAAACCCCCTACCTTTTTAGTGCACAGGATGATGCTCCAACCAGCTGAGTCACACAGGCCCGGCTGATTGATGCTTCTAAATCTCTATCTCTCTTCCTTCCTCTCTGTACAAAACCAATTATATATGTGTGTGTTTGTGTGTGTGTGTGTGTGTGTGTGTGTGTATATTAAAAAAAAAAAAAAAAAAAAAAAAGGGAGAAAGCCTTAATCAGTTTGGCCTAGTGGATAGAGCGTCGGCCTGCGGACTGAAAGGTCCCAGGTTCAATTCCGGTCAAGGACATGTGCCTTGGTTGCGGGCACATCCCCAGTGGGGGGTATGCAGGAGGCAGCTGGTCAGTGTTTCTCTCTCATCGACGTTTCTAACTCTCTGTCCCTCTCAATTCCTCTCTGTGTAAAATCAATAAAATATATTTTAAAAAAATAAAAAAATAAAAAGAAGAGAGAATAACTTATATGGTTACTTTGGTTCACATTAGTAAAATGTAACCACATGAATATTTATAGGATCCGTTGTTTTATATTTAATAAAATGAAGCCACAAAAGTTATAAGGATTATATTGACCTTTGTTCAAATCAGTGATAATATATTTGACACAGGTAAACAAAGAAATTACACACTCCAGTATTTATTGCCCAGATAAAATGTTTGTCACAACTGCTTCAGGTACCTTCTATTAAGACAGTAGAGGCCCAGTGCACATTCAAAGGAAATTATTATTTTTTTAAAATATATTTTATTGATTTTTTTTTTACAAAGAGGAGAGGGCTAGAGAGTTAGAAACACCGATGAGAGAGAAACATCGATCAGCTGCCTCCTGCACACTCCCCACTGGGTGTGTGCCTGCAACCAAGGTACATGCCCTTGACCTTTCAGTCCACAGGCCATTGCTCTATCCATTGAGCCAAACCAATCAGGGCCAAAAGAAATTATTTAGAAGAAATATTTGAGAGGCCAGGGAGGGACCATCAGAGGGCTCCAGGGTGTGTCCAGTCCGTCTCACTCAGTCCTGATTGGCCAGACCCCAGCAGCAAGCTAACCTACCGAACTGTCTGCCCAGTAGTGACTGGTTGAGCGGTCAACCAATTGGTCAAAACATCAGTTGAACACTTAGCATATTAAATTTTTATATATAGATTAAGCCTTACCCGGTTTGACTCAATGGGTAGATTGTTGGTCTGCAGACTGAAGGATCCAAGGTTTGACTCCAGCCTAGGGCACGTCTGATTGCACGCTCAATCCCCAGTGGGGAGTGTATAGGAGGCAGCCAATCAATGATTCTCTCTCATCATTGATGTTTCTCTATCTCCCTTGCTCTTCCTCTCTGAAATCAACAAAAAATATTTTTCAAAAAAAGACAGCCTTAGCCGTTTTGGCTCAGTGGAAAGAGCGTCAGCCTGCAGACTGGAGGGTCTTGGGTTCAATTCCAGTCAAGGGCATGTACCTTGGCTTCGGGCACATCCCCATTGGGGGGTGTGCAGGAGGCAGCTGATC